ATGTTATTCTCTTCTCTCTCTGTCTCTCTCTCTCTCTCTCTTTTATCTTCAGAGAGAATGAGATAACATTCTCTCTCACTCCTGCGATTGCCCGTGAACCGCCGACCTTTGACACCTGTCTGAGTGCACCACGTCACGCGGTGTTCGTTCGCCGACTGCGACCACGGAAACGTGCGCCACGAGTCTTCGTCCTTTTTCTTTATTTTTTTCTGGAGTCACTGCACTCTGGCAAGTCGTACGATAACACGAGGGATCGCGCGATCGCGATCTCGCGGAATTGCGTACATATGAATGTATATGTTCATGTAAGATATTCGCATTTCTTGCAAGGTCATCGTACTTATCTAAATTTCCATGGAGATTGTGAATTATATTCGCTCTTTCATGCAATGACTACCAACTTCCAACTCTACATAAATTATTTAATATATTGACTGATGTGACTGGTTATATATTAATAAAATTTGCATTTAATTAGAATTTATAATAATGAATTTATAATACTACTTGCTACTTTCATTGCAATAATGATTATATTATCATTCTATCTCTTATATTGAAGTCTTATATTTTATTGTATAATCTTTTATTTTGTAACGTATTTTAATTCTTGGGACTATTTAAAATCGGCCTGTCTTCCTCAATAAAAAAACTTTCTCAGTAATTAACATACACACACGTGCGTGTGCATGCATATGTACATATATAAACATTGCTTCTTTACAAATATTTGAAAATACAATTGTCTTTCAGGTGGCATTACTGGAGGCATAGAAATTTGTATCACATATCCCACTGAATATGTCAAAACGCAGCTGCAATTGGATGGAAAAGCTGGTGCTGGCAAAGAATACACGGGAATAGCTGATTGCGTTACCAAGACCATCAAGACTCGCGGTTTTTTCGGCTTATACAGAGGCTTGTCTGTTCTGCTTTACGGGTCTATACCAAAATCAGCGGTGCGGTTTGGTGCTTTCGAGACAGTGAAGAAGCAACTGGTGGATACGGATGGAAAGCTCAATCCGCAAAGAAGGCTCCTCGCGGGTCTTTGTGCCGGTGTATGTGAAGCTATTTTTGCGGTTACCCCGATGGAAACAATTAAAGTGAAATTCATCAACGATCAACGATCAGCGAATCCAAGATTCCGAGGTTTTTTCCATGGAGTGCGCATGATTGTGAAGGAACATGGTAAGCGAATATCAGTTTAAATATTCCAATTTCTTTAGCTTGAATAATTGAATAATTTATTAACAAAAAATTATTTTCTGATTTTTGACTAAATTGTAACATAGAAAGAAGAAAAAATAAATATTGTAAAATTACATCATGATTTAAATAAATAAAATGTAACTCTGAAATTCAATTAAGAATCATAACTTGTTTAACTGGGTCAGGATTGCAACATATGCTTATCACAGTATATTGTGAAATTCTGAATTTGTTCTTTTCCATGTTAAATTATAATTATACAGAGATTACTTTGTAATAAATTAAAAGAATATATAAAATTAATTAAGAATAAATTATATTAAAAATATTAGGATTCTACACATATATAATAAATAATGTAATAATAAAATTATCAATGAAATAATTTGTACATGTTTTTAAATTAAAACAATTTTGTTTACTAAAATTTATAAATATTAATATGATACAATTATATTTATAGCGCCAAATATAGCACTAATGATATTACATGTGAACTTTTTATATAGGTTTCAAAGGAGTATACCAGGGAGTAGTACCCACAATCTTGAAGCAAGGATCCAATCAAGCCATTCGCTTCTTCGTGATGGAAACGTTAAAAGACTGGTACAAAGGAGATGATAATAGTAAAAGTGTTCCTAAAGTAGTCGTCGGTGCATTTGGAGCAGTTGCTGGCGCAGCATCAGTTTTTGGAAACACACCTATTGATGTCATCAAAACTAGGATGCAGGTATACAATGCATATATAATTTATATTTATTATTATTAAATTTGTGCTTACAATTTATATTTATAACAGAAATTATTTTATTGATTAATATTCATGTTTATTATAATTCCATAGAACCATTCTAAATCTGTTTTATACTTAGGGATTGGAAGCTTCGAAGTACAAAAATAGTATGGACTGTGTGATTCAAGTATGGAAGAAGGAGGGTCCAATGGCATTTTACAAAGGAACCATTCCACGATTGGGCCGAGTATGTTTAGACGTCGCTATAACATTCATGATATATGATTCTTTCATGGAACTTTTCAACAAAGTATGGCCTTAGGTCTGTTGCATTTTGTATATACGTATATGACAACATTCTATCCTTTTACAAATATCGCTTTTACAAATATTGCTTTGACATTTTTTACGAGCGTATTTGTACAACGATATATATTTTTGTTAGTAATTATTTATATTCTTATTTAAGATGAGAATGTTATTTAATGGCGGTATTTACAACGCCATATATATCAAAAATCGATAGAACAAATGTGTGACGGATGCAGCTCTTTGACAAAAATCAATTTTATGATATAGAAACAAATGTAAGCTTTCGTTTTGCATGATAGAACCGTCTATGTCGGTTATACCATGCAAAACGGTATATCGCTACCTCCGGCTCTAGTTGCATTTATACAACGTACGATGCACAAAAATAATTTATTGTGAAAATGTTTTTCGTCAAATTCGTATCTTGTTCATGAATTACTTTGTTTAATGTTATCGAATTTAACATTTTGCAACGACATACATTCCTGCAATCTCAGTCGTTCCGAGTATGAGAGTATCATTTTTTATGAACTCTTAAAACGAGGAAATAGTTCAGTGTATGATAGTGTAAGCCACAACATATATATGCCAATACATAGATACACGTATTTATATATATAGAATATATTTATGTACAATTTTGTACAAAGAGAAATAGAACATTTATTGACAGAACAGGGAAAACTCTTTTCAATGATTTTAATTTTAAATAATGTTTCGCGTCCGAGGATATACCAATGTTGCAGAGGTGAATTTAGAAGAATGTATGTTAATAAAAAAACTAACTCAAGCTAACTTGTATTTGATTTTTTTTTAATCTTCTGATAGACAAAATATAAAATAACACACGCATAAAAGTACGTTTTAAATTTCTGATTTCTATTTTCGTTCGGCAGCCTAGTTTTATGGCTCTTCTGTGCGTTTCAATATCTCATCCTCAATAACAATTTTTTTTTTAATACGAAAACTGGCAGAGTTCCAGGATTTTATAAAAATAATTTGAGAGTTACTGTCTCAGGAACACATAAACGATTCTTTAGAACACTTAGCTTTTTAGTTTAGTTTGATTTCTAAAAAATAAATACAAAATTAATCATGCTCGATATATAGAGAATCAAACGTGATTAAAATACTATTTGATTTTCATAAACTATTCAAACATATAAATTTTTAATCGCGTGAACGTCGATACAACCTTTCACTTTCATTATGTAAAAGAAAGAATCTTCATTATTTACATTTTTACATATGCAGGGTATCTTGCATCATAACGGTTTTTATGATTAATATAGTCAGTTTGAGGAAATAGAAAATTCTCCTTAATTTATGAGATAATTAACAAATTTAGATGTAATTTGCGAAGCGATGAAGACAGCGAGCTCCCTCCGATATCCGAGGTGCGAGATATCGGAGTGGCCGCTGTCACGAAGCGCATTCGGGGATCGTTGCGAGGTCTGGTATCTTCGTGCGCGTGGCGCACGTTTCTACATGTGTGCGTGGCACGCGTACACTCGTCTTATACGCCTGTATGTTGATGATAGTATTGCAGAACGAACGGACAACATGGGCCTCATCGGGGGCCTGGCAAAGGAAGCGAAGGAGAAGGAGGAGAAGAGCGCATAGAGAAGAAGCAAACAGCACCGGGCAGGCGGCAAGACGGCAGTGCCGGCCCCGCTCTGGGCCCGACGGGGGGACCCGGGGTCACATTCCAAGATGGCTGTGCCTGAGGAATGCAGTGGGTGCCCCCCTAAGACGCCTGCCTCCCTCCTTTTTATTAATCGGTCCCATTTGCCCGTTCTAGCGAAAAGAAACCCCCTTATTATTACTCGCGTATGGTGAAACAATGTAACGCGCGTATATTTAGAGTTAGTTTGCGAGCGGACGTCGAGGAAAGGTGCCAAAGTAAGTCCCATCATAAGAGAAAGAGAGAGAGACTGAGAGAGATAGAAGTATCGCACGTTCAGAATCTGGGCCCTGATCTTTAACCAGCACGCCGCAGATGATGCCCATGCCAGAGGATGCTACTAGCTCGTCTTAAGCAATGTCTCATAGGGATATCTCTGAGGTAATTACGAGCTTTTTGTTGTAATTCTGGCTCTAAATCTTCGATATCTCGCTCTCTCGCACACATTATTATTTTTTTATTATATATTTTGATTTATCTTGTTTAGTTATTTTATACTTAATTTATATAAATATTTTACTAATTAGCTCATATTAATCTTGTTTCTTATAGTGAAAAAATTGTTCACAAATTGATCGATTATAAATGTAATAAAAATATTATATATTATATTTTATTTCATATTTTTTTATTATCAACTTCATTTTAAATTTTTATAACGTTACATTTTATTCTTGTATGTATAAGTTTCTTTTAACTTATGATTTTTTATTTATGGTCATTTATTTATTTTATTTTTTATTTATTATGATTCTTTATTTTAATTTATATGGTGGACTTAATTTTGTTGATAAAAATAGGAGATTAATTGCTTGAAATAAGATTACCAATTTGATTGTAAGGTGGAACCCGAAGGTACGTCGGCCTTGGCCGCTGGATCCAGGGCACTATTCTTAGAAACAGTACGCAGAAGTAACGCGGCATGCCAGAATGGAGACTACGCTTTGGCCGCGACATTGTATACGGAAGCTCTCGCCTTGGACCCTCTCAGTCATGTATTATACTCAAACAGATCAGCCGCGAGGCTCAAAATGGGATTATTCGCGCTCGCGTTACAGGACGCTGTCAGAGCTACTGAGTTGAATCCGCAATGGCCAAAGGTACGCATATTCTTCCATATCTTTTCATGGATTATTGATATTTACGAATTCGTAACGATCACTTTTTTCAATCAGGCGTATTATCGACAAGGAGTAGCGCTGCAATGTCTAGGACGTCATGGAGAGGCACTCGTCGCTTTCAGCACGGGACTAGCTCACGACGCATCCAATCATCAATTATTATCAGGCTTGGTAGAGGCGTCTTTGAAGTCTCCACTGCGACCGACTTTAGAGCCGACGTTTCAACAGTTGCGTGCGATGAAACTCGACGAATCTCCGTTCGTCGTTATATCTGTAGTCGGTCAGGAGCTGCTTGGAGCTGGACAGTACAGAGCGGCCGCCGGCGTGCTGGAGGCTGCGCTCACCATCGGTTCGTGCAGTTTGAAGTTGAGGGGTTCCGTATTTTCCGCTTTGTCCAGCGCATATTGGGCGCTAAATTCTCTGGACAAGGCGATCAATTACATGCAGCAAGATCTAGGTAAGTTGGAATATTGAAAATAATGAAGAGCGAGTTTATTTATTGACAATCGAAACTTTCAGGAGTGGCGCGTTCCTTGGGAGACACGCAGGGCGAATGCAGGGCCCATGGGAATCTAGGTTCCGCTTATTTCAGCAAAGGCAGTTTCAAAGAGGCTTTAACAGCCCACAGATATCAACTTGTCCTAGCTATGAAATGCAAAGATACGCAGGCGGCAGCTTCGGCCTTGACCAGTCTGGGACATGTCTACACGGCGATTGGCGATTTACCAAATGCCCTGGCTTCCCACAAGCAGTGCGTCCAATTGGTGAAGCAGATGGGCGATCGACTGCAAGAGGCTCGCGAGATCGGTAACGTCGGAGCGGTCTATTTGGCGATGGGAGAGTTCGAAAGCGCCGTCGATTGTCACACGCAACATCTAAGGATAGCTAGACGGCTGGGTGATCGCGTGGAAGAGGCGAGGGCCTTTAGTAACTTGGGATCGTCCCATCATTATCGTAGAAATTTCGGGCAGGCGATGGCTTATCACGAGAATGTTTTGAGAATAGCGCAAGAACTCGGAGATAGAGCGATAGAAACCAGAGCATATGCGGGATTAGGTCATGCCGCCAGATGCGCAGGTGATGATAATCAATTATTGAAATACTATACTATATTGAAATGTATTAGCGTATTACTTTTGTTTTCAATTTTATATTTTGAATATAATTTTATTGAAATATTTAGGCGATCTGACGCAAGCCAAGCTCTGGCATCAGAGGCAGCTCGATGTCGCACTGGTTACAAAAGACAAGGTGGCTGAAGGACGAGCCTGTAGTAATCTAGGTATAGTGTATCAACTACTCGGCGAGCATGACGCCGCCTTAAAATTACATCAGGCACATCTGGGAATCGCGAGATCGTTAGGAGACAAGGCCGGTATGGGTAGAGCTTATGGAAATATTGGCAATGCTTATAATGCTTTAGGTTATTACGAACAAGCCATCAAGTATCACAAACAAGAATTAACGATAAGCAAGGAGGTAAGAATTTCGAGGATAAATATATCTTTATTAACTCTTTGTTAATGGCAAATCTATCGTGCAGGTGAACGATCGTAGCTCAGAAGCTAGCACACATGGAAACTTGGCAGTCGCGTATCAGGCTGTGCAAGGTCATGAAGCAGCATTGAGACACTACAGAGCTCATTTAGCTATAGCTCGTGAATTAAAAGATACGGCTGGTGAAGCGTGTGCCCTCCTGAATCTTGCCAATTGTCTCTCTTCACGCGGCAGATTCGAAGAAGCAGTGCCGTATTACGAGCACTATTTGATGTTATCACAGGAATTGCATGATGTTGAGGGAGAGGCCAAAGCCTGTCACTTTTTAGGATATGCACATTATTGCTTAGGAAATCATCGAGAAGCAGTCAGATATTACGATCAAGATTTAGCACTAGCGAAAGATTTGCAAGATAAATCTGGAATGGGAAGAGCTTATTGCAATCTGGGATTAGCTCACTTAGCGCTGGAAAATCTGGACACCGCTCTGGAATGTCAAAAATATTATTTGGGTAAAATTATAAATAATTTTTATTAAAAATAGTTAAGTAAAAAATAAAATATATAAAATAATGAAAAATGTATTATTTAACAATATATAATAACAATATATAAACAATATATAATAACAATATATAATATTTATTTAAATGTAGCAATCGCGCATATGACCAAGCATTTGGCTGGCAAATTTCGTGCTCTGGGAAATATTGGTGACTGTTTGTTGCGTATGGGAGAGATTGATGAAGCTATCAAGATGCATCAACGTCAATTGAATTTGGCACGTCAAGCCGCCGATCGTTGCCTAGAAGCGGCTGCTTATGGCGCATTAGGAATCGCTCATCGAGCTACGAAGAATTTGGATAAGGCTCTCGGTTTTCACACACAAGAATTAACTTTGAGACAAGAGGCTGGTGATCTGCGCGGCGAATGTAGAGCACATGGAAATCTGGGTGCTGTGCATATGGCATTGGGACAATACACTCACGCCGTTAAGTGTTATCAAGAACAATTAGAGAGAGCGAAGGAATTAGCGGATTCTGGAGTTGAAGCTCAAGCGTTAGGTGATTTAAATTTATAATATTTTGTAATTTAAAATAAAATATAAATGTATATTCAAATTTTTTTACTTAAATAAAAGAAAGATAAATTCAACAATATAACATATAGAATTGGACATGAAATTTTTTTTTAAGATAGCAAATTAAGAAAAAAATTAATAATGTCCTTTTTCTTATTTTATTGCTCTTTTATTATAGGAAATTTGGGCATAGCTAGACTTAATATGACTCATTATGAGGATGCCATCGGTTATTTCGAACAACAATTAGCTACTTTAGAGCCGCTAACTACTGGTACAGCCTTACTTGACAAAGCTCGAGCGCTTGGAAATTTGGGAGACTGTTATGAAGCCTTAGGTGATCTGGAAGAAGCTATTAAATGCCATGAACAACAGCTAACAGCCGCTACGAAATTAAAGAGCATAAGAGATCAGGAGAGAGCGTACAGAGGATTGGGGAGAGCTCGCGAGGCCACTGGAAATTTACAGGAAGCCTTGGTATGTTTCGAGAAACGATTAGTGGCTGCTCATGAAGTGGATAGTCCTGAGGCAAGAGGCGCTGCTTACGGTGATCTAGGTAAATTGATATATTAATTAATAAATTCTTAAAAATTATAAAGGAATTTATATAATAAATATATTTTTACAATAACAACACGAACTTTTTCAATTGCCTAATGTTAACACAATGTGTACTGATACTTGATCGAATTTACAGGTAGAGTACATGCCGCGTTAGGTAATCATGAGCAGGCTGTCAGTTGTTTGTCGCATCAATTGGCTCTTGCTCGCGGTCTCGGTGACAAAGCGGCTGAAGCTGAAGCTGCCAGCGGTTTGGGAGCAGTACATCTTCTAATGGATGATCCAAACTCCGCATTACGCCATCATCAATTAGAGTTATCGATCGCCGAAGGTCTAGATGCGGCCGGATTACAAGCTCGCGCTTGTGCCAATCTTGGAGTGACTCAGGAAACATTAGGACAATATGAAGAAGCAATAAGGTTGCAGGAACAATCGCTGAGCCTTGCGGCCGCAGCGGGTGATCAACCTGCTCGAGCGGCGGCTTTCGCAAGTCTGGGTCGACTTCATCATCTATGCGGAGACTTGCCACGCGCTTTGAGTTATCTGCAATCTGGCCTGTCTCTATCTGAGGGCTTGGGCAGAAGGGAAGAAGCTGCTAGACTAAGACACAGACTTGGTCTCGTACACTGGGAGGCCGGGGAAGCGAGTATCTCTGTGGAACATTTAGAAAAAGCTGCAAATCTTTTAGAATCATTAGATGGAACTTCCGTATCCCTTACTTGTGGTCAACCCAATCGAGCCGAGTTGTTATCAGAGACGTACAGGATGTTGCAAAAAGTACTGATTAATCTAAATCGGGCAGAGGAGGCTCTGAATTGGGCGGAAAGATCCAGACGGTCTAAGAGCAATTCTCTGGATGACGCAGCTCACTATTCCGAAATTATTGATCGACAACGCGGAATTATTCTATATTACAGGTATAATATTTTTCTGCTTAATATTATAATTTAAAATAACAATATTATTTAATACAATAATTTTTTGTCCGTTTTTTGTCTTTTAAAAGATTAAAATAATAAAAATGATTTTAGCGAGGTGGGATGTGAACTACATGCGTGGTGCTTAGCACCAGGCCGCGGATTGTTACGATTCCACTCCGCGACATTAGATGATGGAGTAGATCTTGAAAAAAGAGTCCTTCAAGCACGCGAAGCACTTTTAGATGAGAGCAACGAGCTCATAAATGAAGAATCTACCAAAATTCCGTCAAGAGGTCATCACTTGAATGCTAGTTCCTACAGTTTGAGTAGTCTCTTCAGCGTTGGTTCCGTGAGTTCTCGTGCCGGAAGCGCTCGTTGGGGACGAGGCGCAAAAGGACCTACGTGGCAGGCGCCTTTACCGATACAAGTGCTTTACGATCTTCTTCTTGCTCCGTTCGAAGATCTGCTACCGCCACCACGAAAGGAGCTAATTATGGTCGTGGAAAAATCGCTCTATTTGACGCCGTTCCCAGCTTTGCAATCTAATCCAGGCGAGGATTATCTTTGTGAGAGATTTTCATTGTTGGTGGTACCCTCTCTTGCGGCGCTTAGAAAAAGATCAAAAACACCTGTATTAGAAGGCGGCGCTACCGTAGCTGCATTAGTTGCTGGAAACCCTGTTTTGCCGGAGGACATTCGAGAGGAGTATGGTTGGCCCGAGAGCATCGCTTCCACCGAGACCGAGTCAGAAATAGTCGCCGAATTATTGGAAGCTCGTGCCATGACCGGTCAGTGCCAGCTACAATTTCAAAAATTTGTATTAATATCGCGAAGAGTATCACATAAGATTTTTGTTCTTTCTATTCTCGGTAGGACTGGAAGCTACTAGATCGGCAGTTCTGCGATCTCTACCGGATGCAGAATGTGTTCATTTGACAGTACCAGTCTTCTGGAATACCGGCAGTTTAGCATTTTCGTCTGATCAATGCGAAGAGCCGTCCGAGAGACCAGAGTATTTGATAAACCAGACGGATTTACTCAGATTGAAGATATCTGCCCGATTGGTGGTTGTGTCCAGCGGTCACAGTTGGAGCAATGTGGAGTGCACGAACACCACGTCGGATGGCATACAAAATCTTGCTAAGACCTTGCTGAACGCGGGCGCGCAATGTATACTTATAGGAATGTGGGCAGTACCACCGACTGCCGGTAGCATTTTATTGCGAGCATTCTACAGCGCGATGTTGCAGGGTGCGAGAGCATCTCGTGCCTTGGCCGAAGCGATGCAGACTGTCCAGCATACCAGACACTTCGCTCATCCTGCCAACTGGGCCGGTTGGCTGCTTATTGGCGGAGATGCTAGATTATCCAACAAGGTGTATTCAGTAAAAATTATGTTATTTTCAAATAACTATCTATAAAATAACAAATTAATTAGTTAATTAAAAGTGACATTTTAAATAAATCTAATCTATTTTTTTATCAGGTCGCACTCATGGGTCAAGCACTGGCGGAATTACTGCGTGGCGGTCCCGAGCAGAGCAGAGACGCATTACGAGTAACACTTCATTTAGTAGAGAAATCACTGCAGAGAATTCATCGCGGACAGAAGAATGCTATGTACACAACTCAACGCAGTATCGAGAATAAAGTAGGCGCGGCTACCGGTTGGCGAGAGCTCCTAATGTCCGTGGGATTCAGATTTGAGCCGGCCGGTAATGGTATACCGTCCTCCGTGTTCTTTCCGCAAAGTGATCCCGAAGAGAGACTGACGAGATGCAGCGCGAGTTTGCAAGCTTTATTGGGATTAGGTCAATCGTCCTTGCACGCTTTGGCTAGGCTTCTACAAGTACCAACTTAATTTAATAAATATTTAATGAAAAAAGGTATTAGGTTTTGATTTTAATGAATTATATGAAAAATATCTCAGGCGCCAGAAGTCGCAGAGGACGTCATCGCTGCCATGAGAAGAGCCAGTTGCGCTACAGAAGGGCAAGAAGTTATATTGCCTGTGCATGTTTGGAGAGCATCGGGATCGCACGAACTATTCGCTAGCTTAGGTTTCGATTTGATGGAAGTCGGACAGTCAGAAGTGATACTGAGAACAGGCAAACAAGCTTCACGTAGAGCTGTCCAGTTTGCTCTTCAAGCTCTTCTCGCATTATTTGGTAAATTAAAAAAATTCATACTAATAAGTAATAATATAAATTAATTACATCCATTTGTGTAATTATTTGTATAATTGTGTATTATCAATTATAGATACACAGGAAGCACCAAAAAGTCTTAGCTTAGATTCGGGTAGTTCAATGGAGAGTTTAGCTTCTGTGGCTCATACCGAGAAAAACCTCGTAGAACGGCCGCGATTAGGGGGAGCGTTTGCAAGTTATGTACGACATCGTGGCGAACCAGATGGAAAAACTATGGAACCACCGAACGTTTTAATGCCAGCATCGCGACAACCATGCCAAAATGGAGGAGGTATATATAAATATTGAAATTACATTAAAGCACAGTTAATTCATTTAAAAAAAAATTGAATATTGAAAATTGGATTTTATATTTTAAAAATTTCACAAGTATTTTATGTAAAAATTTATTATGTATTTCAGGTGAATCAGATGTGGCATTTACACCTAGTCCTCCCGTGGCACTTAACTTGAACCATCAGACTCGTATTCGGAATCTTTATCCTGATCAAAATCCAGTAAGACCCGGCTCGAGTTCGAGCAGTTCAGTGACGGATTGGGACAATGGCCATGCTACTGTATTGAGACGACAACCATTGCCGCCATTACCGGCAAACGTCCTGGAAAGGTTGAGCGTGAGAACGGAGATCAGCACGAATTCGCCGAGAAAACCGCGGCATTCCGCGACAACGAGCGAAGACATCTGCAGCGCGCAGACTGACACGACGCAATCCACGGAAACGCATCCACAGAACTTGAGGAATCTAGCCACTTCCCTGACGAGTTTGACGCGCGAACTCACGCCCACGATATCGGAGGTGTATCACGAACGCAATTTAGGATTAGGTCTGGCGCCGTCTTTATCAAAATTATTGGAGGAGGTGAGTGCCGTGCCCGAAAATGAAGAGCCACAATCGGCAAAAACGGTAGGACAAACGCAGAATTGGATACAAAATGAACCGGACCTCTGCCGGAGGGATGAGGCTGATGGTAGATCTATCGCGGAGTCGCAGTGCAGCGCCGCCAGTTCGAATAAAATACCTCGGAAAGCTCCCGCGCCACCGGTATAGATTATTTATATTTATAAGTTAAAATGTTTTTTGCGAAATATAGTACACTGAGTACCAAAGAAGGGAGACAAATCGGGAAATAGATGGTTCGTCGCCTTGCGACAACAGTAGGTTTGGAAAACGAGGGGTATAGCGCAAGCGTGTATTAATTTGCCAATATTTCTTGGTATTCAAACTAAAACACTCGTGAAAGAAATATACTAGGAACCATACACTCACTAGATTTGCACATATTTGCATATACATCCGTTATTCACGTTTTATGTGTCAAAGCTCGTGGATCAACGAGCTTCATTATGTACAAGAACAAAATAATTTTGCTAATAAGCACTAATATGCTCAAGTATGATTGTAATCCGTCCAAATATTTAATTATGAACATTCTTAATTATTAATTAGCAAAAGAGGATTAGAGTTTGGATGTTTAATAAGCTAAAGAATCAATTTTCCTATATATATTTGTCTTCACACAAAATTAATGTTTGTCTAAAATATTAGCTGTATCAACATCCGAGCTTTAAGTTTGACTATTATGTTTCATTTAAATCGTGCAATCCAAATGTTCATAAAGAAGGTGCGTAAACACTTAAGTCAATTCGGATCACTCTATGCTACATTTGTATTTTGCACAATATACACACATACACAAAAGTGTGTTATATTAATTCTAAGAAAAATTTGTTAGATGAACAAAGCTTTTGTGAAATTTGTTAGATGAATAAAGCTTTTATAAAATTTGTTAGATAACTAAAGCTTTTGTGAAATTTGTTAGATGAATAAAGCTTTTGTGTTAAAGCTTATCAAGAAGGAAAATTTATTTTACTTATATATTTTATAGGCTTGGATATTTCCAATCCTATAAAAATTTCTAAATTTTATTTT